GCTTTCTGTCTCTATGTCTTTCTCTGTCTGTCTGGTGAGTGCACGCGCCCTATAGCAAAAACCTCTCCAAAAAAAAGAAGAAAAAAGGGGGGGGGGCAAAAAACAAACAAAATACAACAGAAAGCAAAACCCAAAACTAACCATATATCAAAGCAGTTTCCCTGTATCATTTAGTGTCCTGTATCATTTAGTGTCCTGTATCATTTAGGACACTAAATGATACAGGAAACTGTATCTTAAGGGTGCTGGCATATAGCTTATGATGACTGTTGTTTGTTCAGTCCCCAGTTCTTGGCTATTTTAATGATACCATGATCATTATTGACAATTCACTGTTTTAGTTCTTGATTTTTTAAAAAATTTCTGTGGGGGGGGGCGATCATTTCATTATTAGCTTTGTTGATTTGTTAACTGTATTATCTTCAAGATTATGTTCAAACCTAAAGATCATCAACTCTTAGGATAACGAGTAACCTAAAAGGTTAGTTAGTTCCCACCCACTGACTAACCCTCTCTATAAAGTTTATACAAAAACTATGTGTCCATTTCTTTCTAATTTAACTCTCTTAGTTATGATGGATATATTTTAAGGGTTAAAGCTACTTAAGTATTTTTATATAAAATTATATGAAAATCATTTGTTTAATGATGTAGTCATTTTTACATAATTATATAAATTGGTTTGAAAATAACTTGGTTTAATTTTTAAGAGCTTTACCTGAGTCACTTACTTTTAAATGCATTAAAAAAAATTTGGGGCCAACAGATGGCATAATGGCTATGTCACTGAACTTCCACCTGGGCAGTGGCAGTTCAAGTGCCAGACCTGGAGGCTTCAGATTCATGCTGGGTGCTTGTGCATGCATACCCAAAATCCTGAGAGGAGAATGGAGGAGAAGAAATTGCTATGTGTCCATCCCTTTCTTCCCTGGGGGGGTGGGGGTATTACTTCTAGCTTTGTCACTCTGTTTCTCTCTCTCTCTCTCTCTCTCTCTCTGGCAAGTGCATGCACCTATAGCAAAAACCTCTCCTTAAAAAAAAAAATTACAGAAGCTGGGTACGTTTATGAAAGAAAATCAAAGACTATACAGTGATCTGGATCTTTTTTCCTTACACATATAAACATCAGTACATGCCTTTTGTGTTTGTACATAAGTATATGAATGTTTGTTTAAAACGGAATCACACTGTATACAAGAGTCCTACAACTATTCATTCAGCCTTCACTAGCACAGTACTCCATGAACCCATGACTACAGGGACCTGTTCTTGCTCACTGCTACTTCTCAAGGGCCTTGAACAGTTCTTGGCCCATTGCTCAGTATTCATCCGATGAATAAAAAATATATCATTGTCCTTCTAAAGTCAGTTTAGAAAACCTCTTTATTCTTCTTAACGCCACGTCAGATGTTTGAAAACAGAATATAAATTGCAGGAAGTCGACATTTTCTGTAATTCAGTTCTCAATATTGTTAGGCATGTCATCTTGAAATCTGCCTTAAGCATTATTTTAAATAGCTGGTTGGAAAACCAAGCAACCCATGTTGTTCTGAAACTACGGATGAGTAGAAACTTCAGTCATCTGCTATACTCTCCTTCTAAGTATACTTAGATGTTACAAGTTGTGGTGAAATCTGCCTTTAAAATATGACTAGACACTGCTCAGGAACAAAAGGGAATTTTGGGGCCAGCCACAGTGGTGCACACTGCTAACACACTGTGCTCTTCAGACTGGGGCCACATGAGTGGTTTGACTTTTTTTCCTAGTTCAACCTAAAGGTCTTTCACGCTAGCATGTACCTGTAAGATCAGTGACTTGGTAGGCTGAAACCAGATGATTTTTGAGGTCAAGGCTCATTTGGGCTATCTTAAAGAAATTAGGGTCCAATAAGTGGCATGGTGGCTAAGGTGCTAGACTCCCACATGGCTGACCACTATAAAGTCTCAGACCTGGTGGCTGGAAACGTTACTCTATGTGCATATGGATGTGTGTCCAAAATTCTGAGGGGAGAATGGGGGAGAAGGGGTTGCAGTATGGCTATCCTCCAAGGGATGATTTTGCACTTTCCCTCTCTTTGTCTCTCTAGTGAGTGCATACACTTTATAGCAAAAACCTAAAAATCAAAACAAAAATACAAAATTAAATTTAAAAATTAAGTTTAAAAAGCATGTATTAAACAGATACTTCCCAAGGAAGTTGTAAAATATAGTTTTATGCTTGAAGTATAATTTTGCTAAATTACATTTATATTCAATTAAACATTGGGGCTACATGTATGCATTTAACATGTATGCATTTAGGCTTTGGACTGATTCATGTGTGATTATCAAGCATTTGCCATGTATGAGGCAATGAGTATTAGACAATGGAGTCAGCATGATCAACAAGAGAGATGTAGACCTTTCTGCATGATGTTTACACAGTTAAATGGCTAATAAAAATAAAGTGAGCTAAGGGGTGTGACAAGGAAACTTGAGGGTACAGTGAGGACAAGTAGCGGGAACTTCACCTAGCTTGGTGGGCAGGAAAGGTCAGGAAAGCCTCTCAGAGGATGTAATTGTATAAATAGAGGCCATTACGTTGAAGGGAATGTTTGAGGCTTGAAGTCCCTTTTGAGGAACACCAAAAACTTCATTATGCTGTAGGGTATTGAGCATGAGAGGAAGCTAGAGAGATGGGTAGGTCACATTTAGGAATTTGACTTAGGGCATTGGGAAGCCATTGAAGGGTTTTAAGTACTAGTAGTGTATCTTCTGTGCATTTTAGAGACTCCTGGCTGCCTGGACAACCAAAAGAAGGAAGATTGGAGACTGGTTGGTTGAGAGGGAGTTGTAATCCAGGCTAAAAATGATAGAGCAGTGAATTAAAGTATGCAGTCAGTCTGGAGATACTTAGAAGTTGGAAATAAGGAAAAAAGTGATTGGATGTAGAACAATATGGGGAGGGATCAAAGAATATTTCTAGGGGTCTGGTTGGAATTACTAGCTAGGTGCTAGTTAATGCCACATAATGTCTTTTAAAAAGAATAGAGAAGGTGCTAGTTGTGGGGAGGAGGAGTTCAGTTTGGGACATGTTGAATTGCAAGGAGTTTTAGCATTTTCTTAGAATTAAGTAATGTGTTTTAATACATGTAATAAAGAACAGATACAAGTTACACAAAGTGCTCAATTTAAAGGTTTTGGATGGGTGACCAAAAAGAACGAGAGAAAATTTCATCTTCATTCCAATTGTTCAGGTCTTTAGGTGGTCAGTTAAGATTGAATTAAGGAACGAAGTCAAATTCAAACCTGCTATGAGGTTCTTGCATGGGTGGTCACTGACTATTGGTCAGTCAAGATATGTAACGCAGTGAGAGAGCATAGATATGTCAGCATTGAAAACGTGAAGTGACATGTTATGTTTATGTTATGCATAAGGGATTTGAAAAGCAGAAAATATCATAAAAATGTAAGGCAGATATATTTGCTCAAATAAATGTTGACAAAAATTACAGGCCAAATAGGTTGGAGTAGTGCTTCATAAACTGTTGGGTCAGAGGAAAAGTCATGACACATTTTTGCGTAGAAAAACAAAAATATGGAACCCAGGAGAGGCAAGGGAGCAGGCCTCAGAAGAAATCTTCATGGCTCCTGAGAACTAGTGATTTCAGGGGAATAAGCAAAGTGAAGATTTTCCACTGATAATTCAGCCTCCAGCCCACAAACTCGAGTGGAGAGGTAAGGGAGCAGGCCTCAGAAGATACTGTCATGGCTCCTGAGAATTTGTGATTTCAGGGGAATAAGCGAAATAAAGATTTTCCACTGATAGTTCAGCCTCCAGCCCACAAACTCGAGTGGTAGGAAGACTTTCAAGTCTCCTGTCTCTGTCTGTCTCTACTTCTGTCTCTGACTTCTCATTTTTTTGTAATTTTTACTTTTTAAAATTTTTTAAGGTAAAGCATTTTCTTGGCTTTCAGCCCCTCCCCTCCCTTTATCTTGTTAATAATCCTCTCTCCTCCAAACTCAGGAGAGGCAGCCTCAGAAGAAATCTTCATGGCTCCTGAGAACTAATGATTTTGCGTGGCGTGCAAGCGTGCCACGTGGTTTTTTAAGTTTTGCTTTAAAAAAAATTATTTATTTATTTTAGTTTTTTTTTTTTTTTTTTTTTTTCCTGCTCTTTTTCCTTCCCCTTACCTCCAGTAGATGCTAAGAGACAAGAAAGGAGGAGGGCCTCAGACCCAGTGCTCACCCTTCTCTCTAGATCGGTTCAGACCTTTTACATGACTTTCTGTTTTCACCCACTGGAACTCTGTGTGCTTTTTTTCCCCCTTTTACTCATTGTTTTAAAGTTTACTTATCTATTTTATGTGTGTGAGAGAGAGAACACACCCAATGTGGTCTTGATTCCATGAGCCACCCCTCTCCCCGCCCCTTTCTTTGTCTAGCCCTGATCAGGGGCACAGCCATGCCTGGTGTACTCAGTGAAGTCCTCAGACTGGAACCAGGGCTCTTCTTGTGTGGGACTGCCTCACCAAGCACCCTGCTTTACCATCATCTGCCCTCTGTCCTGTTTTAAATGTAATAAGTGCTTTGTTTTTCTTTCTAAACAATTCTAAGAGGGGGGGCCATCAGGTGGCATGGTGGTTAAGGGTGCTGGTAAATAAATAAATAAATAAATAAATAAATAAAATCAAATAATTCTTTAAAGAAGAGATTCTCAGACATAGAAAATTGCTGGCCTAGAAAAATACATCTCGAAGACAGAAAATTGCCCAAAAATTTCAGAATAAAATATGAGAAATACTAGATACCATCAAACATCCAAACATCTGGATAATTGTCATCCTAGAATGTGAAGAGACTCATAAGGGCATTGATAATCTATTCCATGAAATCCTGAAAGAAAACTTTCTGTCTTCG